TTACATGTAATTCAGTGGGTAAGCCTATTCGCTTGCCTCCAGTGACGTGCTCTGGTTAAGGTAATGCATTTTGTTAAACTTGAAGGTAAGTGGTGAAGTGCTTACCAATCGAGATTCACCACTTACTAATCGAGATTCACCACTTACCTTCAAGTTTACAGAATGCATTACATCTAATGAAATGGGTAAGCGAAAAAGCGTACACCGAAATGTTTTTAAACTGATAAAAAAAATATATAATTAAGCCTCCCGAAAACCATTTTAACCGTTATTTTAAATAAAAAATGCTAAGCCTAAGATTTTACGACAACTAACACACTCGTCTGATGAATCCCCTATTTGTAAATAAGCGCATACAAGAATCAACGTTTTTGCTGGGTTTGTACATACATACATACATATTTATACTTTTGTGCATATGTATTGGTATATTCCAAAATCTGCCTGCTATAAAAACTTGTTTATTGCTTCCAAAATAAAATGTGTATATTTCGGAATTTTGAATATTGTAGCGCCCAGTAAGTAGTGTTGTTGTTTTTCATTTAGGATTTCTTGCGCTCGCACATGTAGTACATATTTAATTTTTTTGCTGTTGAGTAGCTGCTACAGAGAAACATATAATTTATTTTAATTTTTCTTTATGAAGTTGTAATGCTTTTGGTTTGGTGGTGTATGTGTTTTTTTTTTTTTTCTTTGTATTTGGTATTTTAATCACTTCTAACAATTATGCTCTGCGCACAGAAACGTGTTGCAATATTTGGCTTTATGACCCCCCCCCGCCCCTATCGTTCGTCTTGTTATACCAACACACATACACTTGTTATTTATTTAATTATTTTTTTTTTCATTATCATTGTTGTTTAATCGGTTTTCTATTGTCGTTATTGCATTTGTAATGTCTTTCATTACCTCGTGGTACGCTCCTCCATCTCACTTTTAGTAGGCTCGGCTATCGTTGGTGCATTCGATTGGAAAATTATTTATTTCAGCTGTTTACAGCGATAGCCCCACATCTTCAGCAGCTTTGCCTAGCATTTTGTGGAAATATGTATGTACACATAAACATAGTTGTGTGCGTATAATATCTTTGGCATTTTTAAAAAACAACTTATGTGACTTTAGAAGTTTTAACTTTGCATTAAATAAATAAATAATTAAAAAAGACGTTTCCTTACAAAATTTTATTTATCATTGTTTGTAACCCAATAAAATATTGATTTAAAAAAAAAATAGCCTAACGTTTTTTTTTTTATCAAAATTTCACAGATATGTAGGATTGTAAAGATTTGCATATCGCTCATTTGCTGGAAAAACGTCATAACTCAAAAAATCCGAAATATAGAAAGAGCAGTTTTAAAGTTTTTTTGTCAACGTGTTACCCTTGAACAAAAATAAAAATTAAACCAAAAAATATGGCAAATGTAATTGTAAAATAAAATACAGAGTACACATCTTTAAGCAGACCTTAATTTGGTTCCCAACATTGGCCAAAGAACGATTGTTTTCTTATCATAGTTGTTTAGCAAAGTGAAAAGAAGCAAATTTGCAAGAAAACAATTTCGAAGTCTCAAAAAAAATTCCGAAAAAGAAAACTCTAAGCTCAAGAAAAATGACAAAATTCTTGGCACAAACTCGAAGGCTTGAAAAAACCGGTAACGGGCCCGAAAAAATTCGCAAATATTTTGAAAAGCCTTTAAAAACCCGAAAAACGACGAGGATTTACAATATTTCTCGCCAAAGACTTTCACATTTTTGCGGCATTTCAACAATTTGTTTTGGGCATGCGCAGCTCTTATTTAAAAGGATTACCTTGAAATGGTTAAAACGATTGATTAACGGCGCTTATTATGTTTAGTTATTGTTGTGGTGAAAAAAACTTCTCTTCGATTATTAGAAATCACTCAGAAACTAGTTTATGAAATTGTCCATTACCCAAGCATTCCAAACAGGTAGTATTTTCAAATAAACCATCAAAAGCAATGCTATAAGCACATTTACTACCTATGTATCTCCAAAAGGTCAAGACGTAATGGCATAAATAAATTATGGGCCAGTAAAACCAACCGAGAATTCTTTTTCCTCTATTCACCTTTTTTTATTATTTACAAACACAAAAACATTCGTATGTATTTTTTGTTCTTTTGCTTTTTATGTATTTCACTTTCAATTTGCTGCCCGCTTGGTTGTTATTGCTAATATTGTGTTTTTATTTTTGGTTATTTTTTTTTTTTTGTTCTGGCGTGAATTCCATTTAAATTGGTTTTGATGTCTTTAATTTGGATTTATTCCAAATGCCGCGATTCCAGCACCACTTACACTTGTGCGCTGGATAGCTTCAGCTCTTCTTTGTTGCTTTTGTTTATTACTTACTTACTAAGCAAAAATCAAGTGGGTTATATCAAAGAGTATCACTTCAGATACAAAAAACACATGAGATAATTTGGAATTTGCTTTGAATATACTTATGTATATATGTATTTATGTATGTACATAAGTCTGTATCTGAAGCTAAATATGTAAGAATGTTATAAGATTTATAATAAAGCGTATTGAAATTCTTGTGTGAATTCACAAGTGTTTTCATTGCCATATATGTATCTGCATATTAATGTACGTACATATGTATGTATGTATGTACAATTGTAGATACCTGTGCATTAATAATTCTAATTAAGACAGATACATAGTGATTGATCTATTATATCAATTACACAGGCTCTTTAAAGGCTTTAAAGCTCTTTTTGTTTTAGACTTTTTGATGCTGTTTAAGAATCCATAAGTACAAAGTTTCCATCAGCTCCAGTTTGTGAGAAAAACGAAGTCAAAGTGTCTAAGAACTTCTAGAAAAAGAAAAACCAAATATTATAGGCTTAAATTAAAGCTAGAACTCTCGGCTACTATCCATAAAAATACCATCCCTGCACCTTGACACAGAGGTCACTTATAGTCATTTATGACTTCATGAATCAAATTAAAGCTAGCGATTCAAAACAAACTGCAAGGATAAAACAGAAAAGGCATCGTCTTTCATGGTTATTGGGAATTTTTGATACCTCCATAGAACCGAGACCTCTTCTCATCCAAATGCTATTTGTTTCGACCTCTGTTAATGTTAAGAATGGGTTAATTTTTTTTTTTTTAGAAACAGGCAAGAGCGGAATTCATGCATATGTATATCGTCACCTGAAATGCAAAAATACGTAACAAACATCATCGTTGCAATGCAAAAAGTCATAACTAATAAAAAATTCAAAAATTTACTTTTTGATTTATATTGTGGATTTCATGGAATTACAACTTCCCACATCATTTTATGAAAAAAAAATTAAAATATTAGTCACGACTTTTTCCATTTCATTTCCCGGTAGAACTTGGGAGCATCGTACGATTGCTCGGTGAGTACTCCCTTGGGAGTATACGAATACTCCCCATTGCTCCCTATGCTTCTGTGTATAAGCATGTAATTTTGTATACTCCCTTTAACATTGGATGTCCTAGGAGGGGGAGTAATCCCTTTTACTTCCTAAACGAGCAATCGGGGAGCACACACATAATTATCATCCCACAAACCTCCTAATGGGGCAATACGGGAGTACTCCCTTAGTTACCTCCCAGAAACCTCCCAAAAAGACAACAAGGGAGTGCACATAGAAAACATCCCACATTCCTCCCTAACGAGTAGTAAGGGAGTACTCCCATAAGAGTCATCCCGGAAGCCTCCTGTACGAGTAATAAAAGATCGTCTCTATACTCCCGAATTCCTCCTCATGGAGTAATCGAAGACTACTCCCACGTTGCTCCATAACGAGCATTTTACATAAGCTAAAAAGATTTTGCTTTTTAAAAAATTCGTTTATTAAATATTTTAATCATATACATATATACATACTTATGCACATAAATACAAGATTTAAGCCGATTATTACAAAAACAGAAAAAAACATAAATAAGTATTCTTACATTATTAACTAAAATTAGAAAACGGATATCGAACAGTAATCACAAACTCAAACATTATACATACATACATATATACTTTTATATAATCCATAAGATAAGAGTGGCGAGGATCATTTCCTGGAAAAGTTATTTGTTGGGAGTGGACCAAACGATTCACGCCTTGAAAAATGTCCGGCTGTACCCAGTAAATTTTCTGGGCGGGGCAAGATTGCAACGCTAGAACTTAGACGCCTTAATTGCTGGCCCCGTAATCTGAAATATATTTTGAGTTAAATAATACAATCATTTATAAGTTTAAACAAATGCTGTCATATATACCAGCGGCTCTAAAGATTGACTCTCCAATTTATTTGATTGTTTCCTGATTTTAATTTTTCAATAAGAAATACATATGTATGTAAGTATGAATGTACACATCAGTTGTCTGTCTTGCTTTCTTCATACATTTTCCAAAAACACAAAATTATGTTGAAGAAGGTGCGTATAGCTCTCCTATCAACCAAAAAGAATACTCCTGGATTGCTCGCTTAGGAGACATCGATTTTTGCTCCTAAGCGAGTAATAACGGAATACAAAACCAACAAATCTCGCTTATACCTCCGAAATCATGTATCCCGGAGGATACTTTTATTGTTCACTTGGGAGATCTCCCATTATACTCCTAAGTGAGTAATACAGGAGTGCAAAACCGACTAATCTCGCTTATTGCTCCCAAATCATGCCTCAGGGAGCATTCTTTAATTGCTAGCTTAGGAGATGTCCCTATTGACTCCTAAACGAGTAATAAGGGAGTAAAAAGTCCACAAATCTCTCTTATTGATCCGAAATCAGGTCAAGGGGAGTACTCTTTTATTCCTCACTTAGGGAGATCTCCATTCAAGTTCTAGTGGGTAATGTTCAGTTTTACATGGAATAATAAGTGTTGAAGTGAAGAAATAATTGTAATAGTGCCTCACTGGATTTTTTTATGCGATTTTTTAGAAAGTTTTACATGGAGTATCTGAGTTTATGCGGTTTTTGAAAATGCATGAACGCATCCCCTGTTTTTGTATGAAAGTAACGACTTTTTATGCGGATTATTTTTACGTGGCTTTCTGAGGAACGCATATACCCAAAAAAAAAGACCTAAGCGTATGTTTCTAGGCTCCTCCTGGCTGTTTCGTAAGGCTCCTCCATAAACCAAAGTTAAGAATGTCTCATCTGTTAATAAATACCCATTTTGATTTAAGCTAAAGTTTAACAGTAAGTTTTACTTTTTTTCAGATCTAACAAATACCAAGCTTTATAAATTCCACGTTACAAGTCAACATGAAGCATCCAAAACCTAACGATGACGCAATGAAGTAATTAAAATGAATTCTTGCCAACATTAAACGAAAAAAAATAAACAAACATCTGTAACCAATAAAGTCGACGACCCCCAGTAGGAAAAGCAAAGCAAAAAAAAAAAAGAGAAAAAAGCGAGTAAACACAAAACAAATAGAAGCGAATTCAATTCGAAAGATTAGTGGATAAAATGTCAATGCTGCCATTAGCCGGCAGTGCCTCCGGTACACATCTACGTCCACAATCATTGGTCGGCCCCGAGCGTGAACCTGTGCAATTTACGGTTAATTTAGTTGGCGCACCGCCCGAAGTCGAGCAGCTGGTCGAACAAATCAAACACGTTGCCGAACAGTTTCTCTATCATTGGAAAACCTTTCCAATCGGTGAGTTTTCCAATAAATGCTTATTTATGTTAGTTTGTATGTATGTATACATATATGTATGTATGTATGTATGTACGCACATTACTGTTATAAAAAAAATATGTATACAACAGCCTACGAAATTTGTAAAGAAACCGGCTGGCTGGTCTGGTGATGAGCCTGATTAACTTTGATTGTTTTCGTTTTTTTTTTTTTTGTTTGTATTGTTGCATTGTATTGCATTGCTACTCTCTTGCACGCTGATGGGTGATATGATGCCACTCGCGCAGTACTCCCGCAACCGCTAGCCGCTACGACACTCGCGCTGACCGCCAACAATGGGACGAATAGCGTCAGTAACCGCAACAAAACGCGACCGATTAATTTGCGCGACCTATTTATAGCACCGCCCTTTGATGAGTTGGATGCCGTTGCATCGGATGGCAGCGGTGAACCGAGACGCCTCACCAATTCGCAACTGAAGTCATTGCGCGAGTCTGGGTGAGCTAAGCTATCGATTTTATAAACGCTTACAAGATTCTTCTTGTCTTTTATTTTGTATTTTGTATTTTTTTCTTTTTGTTTTGTACTTATATTTTTATTTCGATTTTGTGTTGTTGTGTGTTTATTGTTACATACATTCTGTTGTTAAGTGATCTATAATTTGTTCTTTTTATTGGTTTGTGTGCTCTCGACTATTATTGCTAACAGTGCGGGTCATTTTATTTACATATTTATTTATGCGTGTATGTGCTTGTGCTTGATTGCCCAAGCAAAGCTAATAAAAAAATGATTTTAAAATAAATCTTTCTTTTTTTCGAATTTAGTACGGTAGTAATATGTAGCTAAAATAATAACTTGAAGATCGAACGTATTTGGGCGATTTACAAAGTTGTCTGATGAATCCTATTGTCATAATGTTATAAAATTTTAGACAGTTTTTTATGATTCACAACAACCGCAAAACCTTTTTAAGAAGCGGCCATGTCTTTTACTTATGTATGTATACATTTTTCAGAAAAAAGCAAAAATAAAAATCAAATTTTGGCTGATATTTTTCTGAACAGAAAAAAGCCAGACATTTTTGTTTTTTATTTCCTAAGTATAAATAACAAAATTAAGATTTAAATGTACATTTGGGCTTGATAGTTAACGAAAAATCATAAAAGATTCTAAAAAAAAAAATACCAAAGAGTATCAAAAAAATACCGAAAAGTTAAAAACATCTCAAAAGTAATCTGAGAGCATCCCAAAAAAAACCCTAAACAAGTTCCGAAAATTCCAACGAATTCCCAACATAGTCTTGAAAGTTCTTGAAGCATACCAACAATATGCGAAAGGTCCGGTATCATTCCTAAAAAATTTCAAAATTCCGAAAGATCCCGAACAACAAAGCACGAATACTCGTAAAAAAATCAGAAAAGTTCTGAACAAATCCGAAAAGTTTCCGGAAAGTCCCTTAAATTAAAATCAAAAACGAATAAATCAGAAATTTCACTAAACAATTCAGAGAAAGTCTTGATCGTAAAAGCACTAGACATAATTTTTTTTATTAAACGTAAAAATTTGCGGTTATTTTCTGCTCACTCGTCTAAGAGGTAATGCTGGACTCAAAAAAATAATTAGTACTTTTAAGCTCAAAGCAGTGCAAGTCACCTTTTATTAAGTCGTGAGGAAATTATATTCTACAATGAGAGCTCATCCTAATGGTATTTTCGATAAAAGTACGAAAATTTTCTATATGCCTTTCAAAATTTAAGAATCCTTTTATTTTCAGGCTCCGTTACACTACTCAACAAATGTTCACTTTTTGATCTGAACTGGCACTGTGATTATTATTCCTTGCTATTTATAGAATAAGAATACGTAAATAAAAATTTTCCACCGCATCTCAGTGCCCAGATAAAAAATGAGGTCCTATTCCGCGGTTTTTGGCATATTTTCGATGTTACGTTGCATGGTAAAGTTTTTGTTACTCGAAAAAATACGCATAGCGTTTTAAAGTATGCATACATATCTCTTGCTCTATCACAAGCTTTGCTCGAATATTTTTTCTGTACCAATAAATTTTTCACATTTTTAGGTTAGGATATTTCAAAAAATCTGATGTGGTGGAGCAATTCTGAGTTCTGATAAAATCTATTAAAAATGGCTAGCCTTGTCTAAAATGCAATTTTCATGTCGGACTATGTTACCGTTAAAAAGTTTATGACATTATGACGACAGCTTGTGAATCGCCAAATTGATTTCATTGCGTTTTTATCTTCATCATCAACTTCATCATTCTCCATGCTTTGCATTAAGGCGCCGAACGTATTTTTCTAACTCATCGCTCACGCTTGGATTGCAGAGATTTTCTTAAACCGACTCCCATCTTAGAATTGTGCTTTCAATTTACGACATTTTACTCTACACTGCTCACACACACGCGCAATCGAAAGAAGAGTGCTTTAATCTTGGGCGCATATTTTCGAACTAAAGCAAAAAAAAAAAAAAAATTAATAATTTTTTCATCTTAAAGTTCACTAACTTATACACTATGTACATAAATATATTTTGCGCTTAACGCTTTATTTCATTTTTTTCTATTTTCCTCTTAAGAATTTGCTATTCTTCTCTACTCGATATCGTATCATGTTAAATCTTTATTCTGTATTTCTTAAATTCCCAAACTCCTTTTTTTTCTACAATTATAACACAATTCGCAAATGTTGTTGTAAAAAATGTTTGTGTAAAGCTTGCAAAAGGACAAATACGGCAAACCGAAGAAATTGACTTTGGAACAATTGGAAACTATACGTAAAAATGGGTAAATACCGCTGAAATAAAATTCCATTCAAAATATATAAAACGTGCGCATTTCAATTATTTCTTTATATACAAATCAATGCTTTTTTTCGTTTTCAATGTTTTATTTAGTGTTTTGTGTATCTACGAAATTCATTTTTATGTGCATACATACACAGTTACTTATTGAAATAAAGGAAATATTCGTATGTGTGCTTTCTTGTTTGTATGTGTTTATACTAAAAAAAAAATGAGTTTTACTTATTTTCGTAATATTTATGTGTATCATCGAAAATCAATGTGCTCCATAATGATGGATGTTCTCAAAGCTCAATAATCATAAGTTGGTTCATGCTGGCGTTGCAAAATCAGAGGTCTGCTAAATTTATGTATTTTTCTTTATCGCGCTTATATAGTGCTTACCATAACTATACCAACACCCATATATTGACAAGTTTTTTTCGATTTTTTTTTTTTTATTTTTTATTTTATAAAAACATAGTCCATTCTATAATGACATCCATACAAATCCAAGTATCAAACTAGGCATAAAAACTAAAAAAATCTACAAAACTTCGCACTTTTTATTCAGAATTTTTGGATATGCAGTTTTATATCCCGTCCAATGCAAGTTTGAAGTGTCTAAAAAGTACCGTTGATTTTTCGCAATTTTTTTTTTATCGAAATGAAAAAAATTAGTGACACCCTCAACAAAAAATAAAATAAAATAAAAAATCAGTATTTTGTAGCCATGTCAAGTTTGCACTTTATAGCACAAAAATGGAATGGCATTTAAAATTATATACCGACTGAATAAAAAAAGGGGATATTTTGACGAAACTTTGTTAAGTTTTTTTATTTTTGTACAAAGTGTGGTTTTTTACTATATTTTTATAAAAAATTGGATAATGAAACCAATAAATAAATAAAATACTAAAATAATAATAAACAATAAGCAGTCAAAACTTGTCAATATATGGGTGTCGTATAGTTATGGCAAGCACTATATGTAGTTGGGGTGTTATTGAATAACATTTTTTTATTAACCGACTTAAAAATATGAAGAAAATTATCAATTCATCGGAATATTTTTTTATTTATGTTGCCACGGGAACCGTTTTCGATAATTCATTTTTTTTATCGGAAATGTGGTAGCTCAAGGGTTGTGGTCTCATACTAATTCGGTTTAGCTGCAATCACTGCAGTATTAAAGTCGGTTGTGTTTTTTGCCTGAAAATTACTTGTTTTTTTATTTGCTTATCTTTATTCATATTCTTAATTTTGTTTCGGTCTAAATCAGATGAGTATATATAAATAAGCTCTTTTATCAACAACAATTTTATGAAGCTCCTGGCTAGTTGTTGTTTATTTTAAAGTAAGAAAAATCACCAAAGTCTAGGCGATAGAAGTAATAGCAGATACATATATTTTTATATCGGAGATTATGTTTAATTATAAAATTATTTAATCGATTAATCGCACATCCCTATTAAAATACGATTGCCTTAGACCCCTACATTATCTTTTCAAACGTAAATTGGAGTAAAACAACCTTCCTCTTCTATCCAAAAATGGCCAAAACAATTACCAAATCCATTAGAGTCATTATAACTAAACTTTTAAGCCGGGGGAAAACCATCAATTTCTAGTCGTCGTGAAAATTCGAACCTTTTTTCTTTAATTTTGGCCTAATTCTTGCTCTGTTGCAGTTTGAAATACCCTTTGAGTGCAGGTTTTAAGGGGAACTTTTAAATAATAATAAGAATAAAATAAAATTAATAAATGAAAAGCCGCATAAAAAAGTATTAAAGGAAGTCTATTATCTTTCACTTTCATCAAGATCGATAATTCTTCGAAATGAGACTTATTTTATGTTTATGTTTATGCCCGATTCTTAAAAAAAAAATAACGTACCTATTTAAGTGAAGGGAGGTGTAGTGTAAATAAAATCTTATGAAGAAAAAAATAATTTTTTGATTTTTATGATTGGTCTCATTTTATCAATAAATTTAACGATTGCATGTTTTTAATGGTGGTTTACTATTGGAAATGAAAATATGCATGTACATACATATAAACTAAAGAAGCCGGAAATTTTATGTAGGTACATATGTAGGTAAATGTTTCCAATATCCAAAAGAAGTTGCCAAATTTTTATGTTCAAAACAATTTTTAATGTTGTTGTGATCCTAAGTAAGCAAAAGTAGTTATGTATGCATAAATACCCAGTAGATAATTGCCAGAGCTAAAAGCCCTTCCAAAATGCCTTACCGCGAGTCAAGCGGCGTTCTACTCTGCATTCTTTTCGATTTTGTAGGATGTACATGGAAAAGTTCTTTTAAAGCTGCCTTTGTAATTCATAAAAATCCGACTTTAAAGTTCATATCAAATATGTTGTTCTATTGCAACTTAAAATGCATATTGAAATTTGTTTGTAATGCTAAATTGTAAAGAGGAAAAGCGCTTCTGGAAGGAATGCAGGGGGCATATTTTTTTCAGCCCTTCTTTGGTAAGCTTTTTACAATGGCTTCACTTAAGAAAGCCTACCTAAATTAACTTGTGTCCAATGTATTTTACTTTCCCCAGCTGCTTGGCCAGTTGCTGTAGATCAAGAAACTTACTTGCTAAACAAAAGGGAAGGGATAAACTCTTCATTAAACACTAAGTACTTACCAACCATATTGGCGCATCTTGGTACACACACACACACCACCTGCTAAGCTCCTTTTATGCTTTCACATTGTTCTTTTGACCTTTTACGCATTCGCAGCACGCATTCCAGTTTAAGTTAATGCAACTCCTACACGACACAGAAAACACAAAAAAAAAACGAAAAAGGAAAAAAAAAACTAAAATCAATTTCCTTTTTATGTTTTCAGCATTTCTAGGAGTCGCGTCACTTTTGTGCAGACACAAAGAAATTATCAACCATTTGTATGCATTTGCTTAGTAGTTCTTTGGCATGTCATTCTCACATTCCATTGAAGCGCGCTGCTACTGCAATATAATGCCCATAAAATGTCCACTTTAATGGCACACTTCCACCAAAACTGATTTGTTTTATTGATTCTGATATTCCACCTCTCTCTCTCCTTCCTGCCTTTTTTATCATTACCTTTCTTTTGTTTTTTTTTTTATTATATAGTGAATTCGATGTGCCCAGCCTACACTTTCCCGGACAGGTGCACAAGTGGCGATTGTCGCAGCTGCTGCAGAAGGGCACATTGCGCGCGCATGACTCCTTTCTTAGCGATTTGGCGTTGGCTGCGCGTTTTATTGTTGTAACGGCGCGCGCACGCATTTTCGGTCACTTCTTTTCCGTGGTTCATGCTGCGCAAGCGCTACTGGATGGCGTCATCAAGCTGATCGACATGTTTATCGGTGCGTGGCACGCTTTTGTCAAACCCAACTGACGAAAGTTAATATGAACACTTTTTTTATTTTTATTGCTTTACCGTTAATTCACAGGCGTGCCAGCTTTACTCGCCCATAACTTAGATTATAAAATCAAAGAGGAACGTTGTCGTTTTCTAATCGCCGAGCTGGTTTGTCGCGTAAGTATTTGAGTATTTAAATATTCTCTATTTTTCTAAATGCATATCTTCTGTGTTCGCACTTCAGCCCGAGTTCGAGGATTGCCTGGACGGGCTTTGTTCGTATGTGCGCAAAATGCTGCGACGCGCCACAATGGAGAAATTCGATTTCAATAGCTGTGAGGTGACACAACCAGTGCCATATCTCTTTCTTACGCCCAAGGGACAAGAGATTGATTTGCGTCTATTCTGCCGTGACATTATGCGCAAAGCGCTACCCGTGCTCATCGGCATATTGGAGCGGGAGACGCGCGGCTGGTTCCTGCACTTTCGTGAGCGGCTCATTGCAGAGCTGCGCGCAAAGAAGCTAAGCGACAAGGAAATCGAGGAGGTAAATAAGCAATAAATGCGCTGCCTGCTGATTATAAATATAATCTCTAATTCCCTTACATTTTGCAGGAAGTAAACGAGGCTGTAATGAAGGAGTATCTGCAACGTGTCTATTCCTCCATACTATCCAATCCGAAATTGGCGGAGTTGGGCGATGGCATTCCCGAACTGCTAGTACAGCAGGCTCAATCCGTTGTAATTATGTACAAAGCGGTAGACAAAGTGCAAAAGGATATTAAGCGCACGCGTGAAGATCACCAGAAATGTCTTTCCAATGATCATTCGGTTTTGTCGCGTGTTGCGCCTTGGCTGCGCTCGAAATTGCGCGTAGCCGAGGAGAGTAAGCTCAGCAAGTCGGCATGGTCGGCACACGAGGAGGCGCTGAAGATGAGCACTAAGCACAATTTACATCAAACTGCCTACTTTCTTAGTCGCGACTTGGCTTTCATGAAGGAGCGCGAACCAGTCTTACTGAAGGAGCTGAAGAATGCGAAAACGCCGACTCGCAGCTTTCAGTGGGCTTGTCGTATTTGGTCGCCCAGCGCTTGGATTATAAGACGCAACTTTCAGGGTCAATCAGATGTGATACCAACGGTAATCAGCCAGCAGGCCACCTCGATTGTAACGCCACGATCTGATCCCAGTCAGCCAGTGTTCTTGGTAGAAAAAGAGATCATACGCACAACCAGCACCCGCTGGCCGCTGTGGCGTTTGCTGAATTTGCTGCAACGCACCTGGTGTTGGACATGGAATATGATGTTCCTGCTCGGCATACTGGTGCCTTGGTGCAGTCCATTGGGATTGCGTGCGCTATTCTGTGTGAAGCCGTTCATGCCGGATCTGGAGCTGTCGCAGATCAATGGCACGCTCTTTCCGCGCAAGACCAGCATCACACAGACGATGGCCTCACGTTTGATTGAACTCTGGCGACACATATCAAAATCACGTACACACTTCGAAACGGAACCGGATACTGGTGAGTGGTCACCTATTAAACGCTCGCTTGATAAGTATGCAGGAATAAGGGTATTGAAAATAAAAATTTTGCAGGCTTCATCGGCAAAGGCTTGACGCGCAACTTAAATCGGGTTTGGAATTATTTCGTTAAGGGCTTTCTCGGCACGCTAATCATACTCTTCGCATTCCCGTTGATTTGTTTGGCAACCAGCTTTCTCAGTATTGCATTGGCGCTGACCGCGCCGCTTTGGATTCCTATATTTACTGTGCTCTTGCACCTCTACATGATACTCATCTACGATCTAGATTGTCCAGATAATACGCGCAATCGTTATTGTATTCTCCTTGAGGCTGTTATTTGGAATATTATAATACAAGGTCTTATACAACCGGTGACTGCCGTTTTGGTCGCCACCTGTCTCTGTCCGCTAGCATCGGGAGTAGTTCTAGTTGGTAAGCTGCATGTTGCGCCGTTTGTTAAAGCATTCATATATTTGTATGACCTTTTCATCATATCATTCAATTAGTTGGCGTTGCACGCTATTCGCTGCGGCTACTCTGGGATTCCCTAACGTTTCACTTATTCATAAAAAAATGTGGGCGTGTGCCTGCCTCCGATAGTCTTGCTGTCAAACGCATTGCGGGACCTGGTCTAGCGCTTGATTACTATTTTATAATTAAACCCGAACAAGCGTTGGCTGCATTTGAGGCGAAAATGGAATTGGATGAGCTGCAGGCATATCAGCACGCTATGGAGCGAATCATACTGCAGCCGCAAAAGGATTTCAGTCAATTTGTAGAAGCTTGTTTTGGTCCATTCTCAGCGCAGTTGGCGAAGACAGGGCCGTATATGGCATTGGATCGTGAGGCGCATGATTTAATGAGCACATTGCATGAGAAATTAGAAAAGCGCAGACGGGAACTGCA